TCTGTCTTCTCCAGTAATTCAAATGTTTGGAGTGATGATGGCCCACTTGTAACCACATAACACTGTATGTAAATTAAACCTCTGAGATGTTCAATTCTCACTTTTCAAATATATGCTGAAATACAATTATCCCCCAAATAAGTTCTCTTTCTTTGTAAATGCCTCTGAATTATGTCATTGAACTTTGTGAAAGTCAAAACCTCATTTCAAGTGAGCAATGACATAAATGGCACATTTTTGTTACTCTGTTTTAAAATCAAAAGTTGGGAAATTTCACAAACATATTTGGCACAATGGCTGACTATAAATATCAACTCAACAGCATCATGTGAAAATTCCAGGTTCTGTCAATAGTGAATCATTTTCAAATTCAAAATGCAAGTAAATATTTAGCAACCACTTAAATACTTTAAATTCATTCAGTAGTTTGAACAAGGGCAGAGAGAAGTAATAATAAACCTAACCACACATTAAAATATAAACAAGAATAACTTAAAAAAATGATGATCAGAATTTTGAAAAATGGCAAATGCAATCATTTGGAAGCAAATGGAGTAAGTTTATTTTTCTTTGGCTGAAGTATTATTCTTTGTCATTTATTTTGGGGTGGAGACTGAACAAAATAATAGTTTTCCTGCACTCTAATGACCAGAATAGGACTCAAAAAATGCACAGGCAAATCATTCCAAATTTATACTCACCACACCTCAGTCATTTTTACTTACAGCTGAAAGATTAATATTAGTATTTTGAGGGTATGAACTCCTGCCTCCGTAGGGCCTGCTTGAGTTAATACCAGTCCAACGGCTCGAAAATCTTTTCATTGTACCGTATCGGTTTGTAATTCAGGAATTTTAAAATGATTCGACTTTCCGCAAAGCTGTAACAACTTACTTTTCTTCTATAGTGCATCCAAAACATTTACTCACTTTCTCTCATTTTATCCTAATGACACCATGAGGGAAGAATGAAAAATATCATCTCCAGTTTATAAGTGAAAAAACCCTGAAGTTCAGATGGAGGCTTTTGACGAAGGTTAAATTCCAAGCAAGTTGTAAAGATGGTATTCACACTTAGGTTTTCCTCCTGAATCCAGCTCTTTTTCTCTCCATAGATTGTATAAATTTTTATTTATATATAATGAAAAAAGTTTATATATATACATAAAATCTGACATGTTTTACCTACTTCAAGGCAATTTCAATTTCAGAGATAATTAAAATGCAAATAAACATATGCCTTGGAATCAACATAAATCAATATACTGTTCAACTGCATAGAGATTTTTCCCAAAGCCACCAAAGGTATGGAAAAAATATGGCAAAAAAATCCAACATAAACAGAGAATGATTTTAGAAGAATAAATACAGAATAAGAAAACAAAACTGAAACTTCTAAAATGCCCCTTCTCATTTTAAAACCACAAGTTACTTTCTGTTCCTTACATTCTTAATTAAAATTATTCACATATATATAATATATACACACACATACATATAAATAGCAGTGCAATTCCTAGAAGTCTTTTCTTCTCTGCTTAAGCAGCAGCATGAGGAGATATATTATAAATCCTCAAAATGTTACATATTTAATAGAGCACTTATTTCATACTTCCTAAAATTCCTCACAGATCACTAGGAATAATTTTTGAAGTTATTTTGTACTTTTTGTCAAAATATTTTCCATCAAAATTATTTTAAAATAAATTATTAAAAATAAAATAGACCATTTTCCCACTTGTATTTATATCCTGAATAGTATAAAAAGACCCGAGCTATTTCTACATTTCCCCTATTCAATCATACCCTCTTTACTCCCTCAACTTCTCTAACCCACAAAGATCTCCCCTAGTGCTAAATTTTATGATCTAAAATCAGTCCTTCCCTTAGATAGCATTAATTTTCCTACTCCATAAACCCCAACTAGATCCTGTCTTCACATAGTAGGCATCTGCCTATTATTTCCCACTGTCCTCAGCAGAGTACACACAGTAGGCAAATGTTTATTGACTGAATAATGTTCTCGAGATCATATGTAGAGAAGATGGGAATGAACAAGAGACTTCATAAAGGCACATTGATTTTAAAGCCAAGTTTGGTTCACTGCTGTATTCCCAGACTGAGAATAGTGCCTTGCACATTGTAGACACTCAATCAATATTTGAGTGAAGAAATTTTCAATGTCTTTACATACAGGAAGTTCTAAAGCAAGTCATTCTCTTTCATAGAACACCATGAAGGTACATAAAGAGATCATAGCTTCTCCCTTTCCTCCTGTATCTATAAACTGTTCATATTCATTATACTAACTTAAAGTTGTTCACTCCTAGGGATTCTATTAATTAAAGCAACCAAACCATAAACGATGACAAAAATCAGGCTTTGGCTAGAGATCAAAAGTCCATAACAAGTTTGGGGGATGTTCCAGCCAACCTATTTTAATGACATGCTTTCTGGACTGATCATAAATTCTGTTCTCATCTCAAGGTCACTAGTAGGCCACTTAAGCACGTGGACAGTTAGGCTGCTAGGGTTCTAAGTTCCTCAGGAAAATGCTTTAACACAAGAGTGATGACTCTTAAAGCAGGTCATGGCCTTTACACCTGCCACTCGCATACACAATCCTGTTTTACTAACACTTTTAGAAATGATCTCAGATCCAATCCTATAACTTTGAGCATATTTTAGAGGCAGGGACCCAGTGTGATCAGAACCTTAAAAGGGTCCTTCTATTTATGTCTTAAAAAGAAAGGTCTCCAGAAACTTCAGCCTCAATCCTGCCCCCAACTACTTCACATTTCCCATCTTAAAATGTTAAGGAGAGACTAGAGAAGATACAGAATCTAAACAATAGCAGTGGCACATTTTTAGCATCTATTTAAAACCTGGTTCAACTTTTACCTTTCATTTATTTCCAAGATAAATTGCTGAACTCATTTAATTGCTCACAAGGTATAAACAGTAGATGCTAATTCATTTACAGAAATATCCTTTTTCTAAAACGGCTAATCTTTAAAAAGGGATAACCATTTATTTGTATAGTCCTTTGAATTTGCAATTAAGTTCTACTGCATAGCTATCAAAATTAATAGAATATATCGTGAAGGTCAAGAATTTAGAATAGATATGAGTCTTAATATGTTCCTTTAGAATTACCTTTCTCCTTGCTTTTCTGATATACAGTAAATACAACTAGAAATGACATATCTTTAAAGCAAAAGAACTAGATTTAAAAATAACTTGCCTGAAAATATATATGTATATACACACACACACACACACACACACATATATAGCACACTAGTCTATATAGACCCCTGAGTCAAGTAAGTATGCAAAACAGACATTCTACTGTGTGTAAACAGATACTACAAGGTTAAGTGTCTGGTGAACAGGTGACTAAACCATGGGGGAGGGGAGAGCAGAACTCAGTATAAAATGGAGAATGTGAAGTTCTAAGCAGGCCACTAACGCCAATAAAAGAAAATACCTGGAGAATTGGTCAGCATTTACTTAATAATCAGCATGATAGGTATGCTTCAGGTGAGACAAAGGTGGATTTCGATCTGAAACTTGACATGGCTTGCCAATTATAAGGAGTTGAATCACCATGTGTTCTAGAATTTTTCCCAAGTCTACCATTAGTGACATGTTGATTAGATTCCTGCTCACTAGCCAGAAGAGCATCCTTTACTCCAGTTTCTGTCTTGCTTTCCAAGCTCTGCAACCATGTTCACATACAAAGGAAAAGCAGCGGTAAAATGACCCGGCCTCTCTCTCCTGCTGGTGACTACAAGGCAGCCTCTCCATTCCAAGGATGTAACCCAAGCTGGCACAAATGGCCTAGCTCTCTGCTAATGCAGAGGAGCTGGGTTTGTTTTCAGGGTGGGTGCTGCAAAACGCCAGGTGTATTTATAGAAGGGAGCAAGACTATGATGAAGGGATGATGACAAAAGAGGAAGTTTCTTCCGCCTAGTCAAGAAGCCTGTGAAAATATCTGGATTCCACAGCCTGGGTTCCACTCCTGATTTGCCAACTACCAGCTATGTAAACTTATTAAAACCCTTTTTGGTCTGCTATCTTATGTATGAAATTTAGACAATGCCCTTTGCCTCTGATGGCTGTCAGAAAGAAGAACGAAATCATGTGTGGAAAACCTGGGACGTGGTAGGCGATCGATAAATGGCAACCTGCTCCCTCATCCTCCAGTTCAACCAGAATGGCCCCTCGAAAATCACAAAGATAGACTGCAGGGTTAAAACTACATGGCCCAAGCTAGTTGTCAGGGAACGAAACAATTGGGTGGAGGCTTGCTTATTTACTGGAGGATTTCGCTTAAAATGGAGTTAAGCTATTGATAAGAGGTGAGACACATGGGAAAAGCATCAGGTATAAGCAAAACTCCGCCCTCACCCCCGCTCCGAAAAAAAGACATTCCTTTTTGTAAGCACGAAACAAACTTCGGAAGCTGCGGATATCCTGTGAACCTACCCGGTGGCCTCAATTAAAATCACAAGTGCGCACGTAGAACTAAACAAGACGCACGCCATCCATATGCTGCCTTGTCAGTTTCAGATCACGCTATTTTTACACAACTGTCTTCAAATCCCAGGCGGCCCTCCCTCCTCCAAATCCGCCCCAGATGGGTTTGGAAACCAAGAGAGAGTTGCAAAAGGGCTAAGGATAGGAAAGTGGGGAGGTCTGGTCGAATGACTGGAAAACAAGGCGGTGGGTGAGGGGGCGGGGTAGAGCAATGTGGCAGAGACGCGGCCAGCGAGCCAGAAAGACGGCGGCTTCACAATGAGAGGAAGAGACTGCGACAATCGCCGGCTTCGGTCCCCGGCGGGGACTGACGGCAAGGCCCGGGGCGCGCGGAGCGTGGGAAGACGGGAAGAGGGTGCGGAATGAAATGAGAGAGTCGTTGGCCAGACAAGGAAACCAAGGAGCACCGGAGCAGGTGCAAAGCCCCCGGGCAAGGAGGAACCCTTTCGGGATACTCACCGTGTAGAGTAGGTTGAGCGCGCACAGGCAGTTCTTGGAACACGCGAAGCCCCCGCAAACCATCTTGGAGCCTGTGGTTCCCGGCAACTGCAGGTAAAATCTGGCTCCAGCGGAGCCTCCCGAACAGCCTTTGTCCTTGCCTTTGGGGCTTGGCCAAGGCGAGGCAGCAGCGGGGACGCGGACGGGGAAGCCCGGGGCTGGGGCTGCAGTGTGCGGCTCGCCCCCGCCAGCTCCGACCCGCTCTGAAACCTGCGGCCGCAGCAGCTGGAGCCGAAGCCGGAGCCCCGCCCAGTCCCTCCGTCTCTCCCCGCGCGCTGATTGGCTGCTGGGAGGGAACAAAGGTAGAAATATGCAAATAAATGCGCTCTGCTCTCCGGGATCCGGGAGGGGCGGGGTGGGGCGGCCCCAGCGAGAGGGGGGAGGGGCAGAGGCCGTGGGGGAGGGTGCCCGAGGCCAGAGTGTGTGACTGCGACCTAGCTGCCTGGGGAGCAGGTGAGGAGAAGAGGGCGGGGATCGACGGAGATCCACGCTGGCAGGGAGAAAGATGACAGAACCTCTCGGTTCTCCCCAGCGGGTGACGTGGCACCATTTTGAATAATATTTTTAAATTAAGCACCTGCCTTGCTTGAATAAATAAAGGAAGGAAAGAATAAATGAAGCAATTAATGAATGATTGTGAAAGGCTGAAAAGAGAGAGTGGAGTGGGGAAAAATCAAAGGGAGGAAATAAGTGAAAGAATAAAGAGAGAATGAAATCTCTGCTTCTCTTAGAAAATAGGCAAGATGTATGGCCTGTGATTGTAACTCTGGTCCAGTCAGATTTATCCCACAGGGATTTGCAGAAATGCTGATAAACTTTACGAATACACGCATGCCAAGAAAATCGAGAGGGTGGGTTTTTTTTGTTTGTTTTGGTTTTTTGGTTTGTTTGTTTTTTGTCTTCCAATCCTGAATATCAATAAACTGGGTTAGTTTTTTGTTTTGTTTTGTTTTTTGGTTTTTGTTTGGCACCAATAAGAACTGTGAAAAATTTTAAGTGCCAGTCTCTACCTCAGTCAGTTCATTATCACTTTGAGTGTTTACTGTAGAAATGCATAATGTATCCTCAGATTCCTCCTCTATAATTTGGGATATTAACAGAATGTGAAGCACTTTTTGCACAATGCCTGGCTAGTCAGTAAATGTCAGCTACTATTAATATATCTAATAGTTTTTAAATACCTACTGTGTTCCTGGCAATAAGCTAAACCAACAAAGATTTGATTATTTTATGGTTCCTTCTACCAAAAAATGTTCTTATAGAGAAATTTTCAGATACTTATATGAAACCTCAGGGTTTGTGCTGAGTGAAGTATGTGATAGCAAATGGTAAATACTGTATATGTTAAATAAAACATTGCATCTGATTAAAATAGTCGTCTTGGAATTGTCTGCTCCCTCTTCTAACCTCTCCTTACCTCCCCAGGCCCCATCATACCAAGAAGGCTGCATTGATTCTTTAGCCTTTACATTCTGCATTAATCTTTGGTATATACCCAAAATTAATTCCAAAAATTAATTCAGAAAATTACACTGAAACCCAAATAATACTTTAGTGCTCAGCTTTCCAGGTTAGAAGCCAGAGGCTTACTAAAGAAAGAGTATTGGCGGGAGACCTAGCTTTCCCATCTGTGGATGTCACCAACAGGGCCACCACTTCAACATTACCCAAACAACAGCAGCAACTCTCTCTTCTCCTTCTTCACAATACTCTCTACTACCTCCCAGTGGGCTGAATCTCTTACTTTTTTTTTTCAGAGAAATGTCATCCATCAGTCAGGGGCCCAGCAGGTAGGAGATGACTCATTCAGATGACTGAGAAGAGTTTACTAAACAGACTGCCTTCAAAAAATGTGGACAAGGTTAAAGGAAGCCAACAAAGGATGCTGAGGCAACTCAGAGCCAGCAGGAGCTGGCAGGGGCGATTTAAGGGAGTAGTTACAGAAATCAGGCAGGAGCTGCAGCTGTAGGAGGGTTGTCTAAAAAGAGTTATAGACTTTAACAGAGAAAACAGGAATTATTGCAAATTGGAAAAGAAAACAAGTGAACATAGTGGGATTTATCCTTAGAATTTGGATGTAGGAATTTGCAAAAGACCATTTGCTCCCACCCTAAAAAGAATGAGCTAGAAAAGCTAAAAAATCATAGTTTGTTTAAAGAAACCTATCAGTTGGGAGTTCGGGACTGGCTGATACAAACTACTGTGTGCAGAACAGATAAACAACAACGTCCTACTGTATAGCATGGGGAACTGTATTCAGTGGCTTATAGTAACCTGTAATGAAAAAGAATATATATATATAACTGAATCATTGTGCTGTACGCCAGAAACTAATACAACGTTGTAAATCCAAAAATAAAAAAATTTAAAATATGGAAAACAAACAACAAGGTTAAAAAATAAATAAATAAAACCTATCAGAAAACGAAACAAAAACAAACTCATAGACACAGAGAACAGATCGGTGGTTACCAGAGGGGAAGAGGGGGCAAAGTGGGCAAAGTGGGAGAATAGGATCAACCATATGATGACAAGTGGTAACTAGACTTTAGGTGGTGATCACTTTGTAGTGTACATGGACTTGGAATTATGATGTTGCACACCAGAAACATATAATGTTTTATGCTAATTTAACTTCAATTATTAAGAAAAATTGTCATGGAACTGAGGAAGCAAAGGCATCTAAAAAAACTAAAATTCAGGAAGTAGTAAGACATTCTTAAGAAGAAAAAGCCCACAGAACTTTTCTCTCTTATGAATTAGAAAGAAGATTGCCATAGAAAGGGATAAGGAGACACTAGCTGATCATTTAACCATCTTTTAATGCACATGTATGGACTAATGTGACAGTTTATAATCCAAGGATTCCTAGCTACAGAGTGAGTGTACGACTACTTGCCAGCTCTAGCCCATGGGCCATCACTTAGAACAAAGATTTTAAGCTCTAAAGGCTACAGTCAGACAAGAATACTCCTATCCCAACTACCTCAAGGTACACAAACTTTCTCAAGTATGACAGTGGCTAAGAGCTGAGGTTAGGACGAGAAAGATGGGAAAGATGCCTACAAAGCAACCTGGATATTTACCCAATCCAAAGCAGTAGCTGCCAAAGGCTAAAGAAGTAGCAGAAGAGAAAAATCTCTCTATGAGATCCTGCAAGAGGCCTCTAAGGCTGGGATAAAACGTCAGGAAAGAGAGAACTCACAAGGACAAGACTGAAAATTGAAGACATGACTGAAGAGCAAAGAATGCTCTCCCTAAGAAAAAAAAAATTAACAGCCAGGTTGTAAGGTATAGAGACCTCCCAAGACTCAGAATGCTGGGTTATTAAGTACAAAGACTTCTATGAGGCCTAGTTCCTATAGAAGGAGAATCCTGACTGTGCCCTCAAAAATGTTTGAAGCCAATGTTGAACTGAACCTAACTAATGTTGACCCAGCTCAACTACAGTGCAGACTGATTTAGGTACCCACGTATGGAAGCAAGTGGAGAACTACAGCAGAAGGATCAAGATTATTGAAAAAAAATGAAAATAAAAAGAAAGATACAATCAGAGATTTTTGGAAATGTGATTTCAACAGACTAGACACAACAGAATAAAAAAGTGAAACCTGAAGATAAGTCAATAGAAGTTCTGCAAACTAAAACACAAAGATGAAAAGTGGATCAGAGCATTTGACATCTGTGAGGCAAAATCCAGTTGTATGTGTTGTCTGGAGTTTCAGAAGGAGAAGAGAAAGAAAATGTGGCAGAAGAAATAAGTAAAGAATTAATAGTGGTCAGAAATTTTCCAAAGGTAGTAAGCACCATGAACTCACAGATCTAAGAATGGGAACCACCACCATTCTCTACTGATCAAAAGAACCCAAGCCTGACAAGTTTCAAAATGAGGGGAACACAGACCCACCTCTTCAAGGGAGGGTTGCAAAGCCACCCTGCAAAAGAGCACATGGGTTGGAGGATACTGTAGCCTGTCTTTGGAAAACAAAATCTGCCATAGATAATGTCCTTTTTCCTTATCATGCCTCCATATTTCTCTTTTTGTATGAAAAAATGAGAAACAATATGATACTGGACTATAGTTCTTCTCAGAGAATTATAGTAGATACTAAGCTAAGAGCCTGTGCATTTTGTCAAGTGGATAAGGAAGTTTTATTTTCATAAAATACATTCGTCTTTGTCCAAAATCAGTAGAATGGATAATTGAAGTTTATTTTTTTATAATTGTGTCTCCTAAAAATAGACTCACAGACATAGGAAATTAACTATGGTCACCAAAGGGGAAAGGGTTGGGGAGGGTTAAATTAGGAGTTTGGGATTAACAGATACACATTACTATATATAAAATAGATAAAAAGCAAGGACCTACTGTATGGCACAGGATACTATATTAAATTTCTTATAATAACGTATTAATGGAAAAAAAATCTGAAAATATATATGTATAACTGAATCACTTTGCTGTACACCTGAAACCAACTACACTTCAATAAAAATAAAATTTTAAAAATAGTCCCCTAGCAAACTGTTTTTAACAGTTTTTTAAATATAAATAACAAAGACAAACTAAATCTAATCAGTTTTACATATAAATTTCTTAGTCCTTAAATAAATCTTTAATATGAGATGGGTTGCTAACAATTTATGAGATAGCTACACTTGTTTCTCCTTCTCCTTTGTTTTAATGTTTTTTGTTTTATTTTTGAACCCGGGCAAACAGAATTCCCATACATTAGACCAGATCCTCTGAGAAGCAAACACCAAGACTGGCTTAGATGTGCAAGAGATTCACTGTGAGAACCATCTGAGAGGGAAAATAGGGAAGGAGCTATAGGAGGCTAGGAGAGCTAAAAGAACACAATTTGGGGCTGACCTCTATGAAGGAGAGAAGGAAGCAAGGGAAGAAGGGAGGGAGGGAAGTGAATTCTGGACTGCAGTGCAGTTTTTAGGAGATTTGGCAAGGCCAGCAGGGAGTCTTCAAGCCAAAGTCAAATGTCACATCCAGCACATCCCCCTGTAATGAGCCTGCCTTCAGTATCCCAGCCGCAGTCACTGGCAGGAAACACCAGCACAAATGTGGTGATGGATTTCAGAGTATAGCACTGGGGCTGGCTTCAACTATGCTCCCCACAGCAGATCTGAGAGGTGGGTTTTCTTGAAAAATAGTTGACTGCATTTTCCCCTTATGTCCTAAAAATATTTCTCTAGTCACATTTCAAACCATCTTACAGTTTTTCAGTTCTTCATCATCTTACCAGGAAAGTAAATTCTCTGACT